ACAGGTCCTGGAACACCTCTGGGCAAAGAGACCATGCTAGCATAAAAACTGAACAATCATGGCAGTGGAAGGTATTATACTTGGATGGCCTACATCTGTGTGCCAGTGCCCAATTCCTCCTAAAGGTGGCAGCATAACAGTGTTCCCAATTCTACTGACCCTGTGTCCCTTAGGGAACGGTTAAGTAAAAAGGGGGAAAAAAGAAAAAAAACACATTTTGGAAACATGGTTTATTATTACGATACAAAAATAAGGAAGAGGCACGTCAGAAGATAAGAGACATTGGAAAGACAGACACTGGAAAGACATTTAAGGTCACCGAGCCCGGGAGCGGGTAGATGTACGTCTGATGGGAGTGGTGTTTTTAGGCGTGTCCGCTTCACTCAGTTCTGCCTCCAGGTCTGTTAAATAAAAAAAGATGGACTGGTCATGTGACTTTTTTTAAAAAAAGATACAAGACCCAACCTTTGCTTTAATTGATACTTACCAGACTCCTCATCACTGGAGAACGTAATGGTTACTTTCTTCTGCTGTCTCCTAGGGGGGCGAGATTTTGGCGTCTGGAACTCGCTCTCCTCATTTACTGCCGGTGCTCTGTTCACAGACTTCAGAGGGCGCCTCTTGGCTGAGGAGAGATACAGATCGCACCGTCAATGGCCAGCAGGAATTCCAAGCATAAACAGATATAGCTTATTCCTTACTTATTTGACTTGCATATGCCATTATTTTTGAGGGAGACAATGTTGGGGGAGGTTAGTCAAGAGAAGGCTATGGGCAGACTAACATGGACAACTTAATTTAGTTGTAAAGGTTCCCCTCTAGTGAACTGCCATGTAAAGTCCAAATTATGATCAGATCTGGCCATGAAGCTTTTAAATTGTGCAACACGCTTTAAGGCTCATGCTGCGCAAACTGTTGGCGCTATATAAATCCTGTATAAAATAGTGATATAGCCAATTCTTTCAATGGTGGCAGAATCACCAACATTTGTCCTTCCATTACAACTTGCGAAGCTGCTCCTTAAAACACTTCTGAAACCCTGCCACTGCAACCTGGCTAGCAAATGACTGCAATATTGCAGGATTGGCTAACAAGGGAGTGACTGCAAACAATGATGCAAGTAAATTAGCTAGGGATGCACAGATACTAGTATTGGTGCCGATGCCTTGTATTTGGGAGAGTACTCGTACCCGCTCAGATGCCCGGTCTGATACTTGAACTTCCGGCATCAGGAAGCCGGGCAGCGCGTCATTACACGTACCCCAGCTTTCTGATTGGCCAGAAAGCCAGCTTCATGGTCATCACCTGGTGACGAGGGAGCATGGAGCCGGCTTCCATGGTAATCGGGAAGCCGGGTGGGGACTCATTACATGCCGCTTGGCTTCCTTAAATGTGACTTCTGGTTACGGTATTGGCGAGTACAGAAAAATATATATATCTGTACTCTATACCAAAAAAACCCATATTGGTGCATCCCTAATAGCAGCAATCCATTGGTTGGTGAAACCTCACCCATCTCATATTGTCTAGAATGTATACATTTTGCAGTGAAGCGGGTGTTACGTTAAAAACTGTGGGGGTCAGTGTTTTTCCCCCATAGTTCTCCTAAGGGTCACGGGAGGAGATAAACTAGCATCCTGAGACCCAAAGCTGAGACCACCGCAGCCGGGACGGATCCCAACATTACTGTCGAGATCCACCCAGCTGCGTGAGTGACAGCTGGCTCTGCCTATCTAGAGGCAGAGCCAGCTGTACCCGCCCCCTCCCCCGTCCGTTCCAGTCAGCGCTGGAGGATCAAACAAAGGAGGGGGGGATCCCTGCACGGAGCCGTGAGTGACAGTCCCGACTCTCTGCAGGGACATGATTGAGAAGTGAGCGAGCGACGGTATGTGTTCCCTCACCTCCCGATCTACTGAGCCGACCTGTGACAGTTTCATTGTCACAGGTCGGCTCGAACTATGAGGTGAGTGATTTTCACCACTCATATTTCTCCTTTAATACATTTTCAGGATCATTCACAGGATCCAGGACTTACCCGGAGCATTCTTGTTCACAGCAGACGGTGGTGGAGGGTTTTCACCTTCTGGAATGGCCTTCTCTGGAACATCAATGTTCTCCAGACCTTTGTTATGACACACGGTCAGCTTGTTCTCAAACTCATCAATCATACTCTGTAATGAGAGTTTAAATCAAGTAGGTCAACATAATTAGGCAGAGTGAAGGGATAACATGCTAATTACAAGATGAATGTTCAATAAATGTACAGATAGCAAGGCTGAGCCGGTACAGACAAGCTGCAGAGTGTAATCAAATTTGCATATTAACAGATTTCCCAGCTTCAAAGACAAAACAGTTCCAAAGAGAACTATGGCGTAACCTTTTTATCCCATAGTTCTTAGGCCTTGTTCACAACAAATGCAGAGCAGATCCGGTCAGGTTTCTGCACACGTAGTGCAGTGGGTTGTGCCGCGTTTTTGATGCGTTCAGGGCCGGTTTTGGTTAAAAAAAAATCTGGCGCCAACTCACGTGCAGGAGGATGGTTGCCTTCCCTGAGTGATGGAAGGGAACCTTGGCCAAGAATCGGATGGGGGTCCGATAGGGAAGCCCTGCATGCGCTGCAGCAGGTAATCCTGGAGTAGGTCCCAACGCATAGCAGGGTAGGCTCAGCCCTAAGGCAAACAAACATGAGCCCTAAAAACAACAAACATTACGATGTCCCTGTGTAGCCGGCGGAAACACAAAAAAACTGACTTGGGATGGAAGGAGGAGTCTATTTATTTAATGTGGTTGATGTGTTTCCTGTTGCAGGCAGGCGGAGCCTATATCTCGATGGCTGTCCTGGAAGATGACTGGGGAAAAATCACTTGCATGCGTTTATGCGTTCCAGAGCAGGTAAAATAGGGCTTTTGCCGCAGTTTTTTCACCTGCTCTGGATCTGCACGCTGCGATGTGAACTGGGAGGTCAAAATACCATAGGAATACATTGGACGCAGTTTTGATCCAGTCTGCACCTGCTCTGGATCTGCTCCGCGCTTGGTGTGAACAAGGCCTAAGGGGTCACGGGAGGACATAAACTTGCGTCCTCCCAAAGCTCAGTATATTATGGGCTATTGCTCGCTACATACTAAGAGCGCCGTAGCCAGTATGGATCCCGACAACACTGTCAAAATCCATACAACTGGCTGATTGACAACATTCTATCTATAGGCTGAGCCAGCTGTGCCCGCCCCCTCCTTGTCTGTTCCTCCACTCAGAGCTGGAGGATCGGAGCGGGGAATCCTTGCGGGGAGCAGTGACTGACAAGTCACCGTGCTCTGCAGGAAGATGATGGGGAAGTGAGCGAGTGACAGTATGTGTTCGCTCATTTCCCGATCAATAAAGCCAACATGTGAGTTTCAATGTCACACGTCGGCTCTAACTAAGAAGATGAGTGTAAAATCACTCACCTCATAGTTGTCCTTTCAGTTATAGCAAGAGGTCAAAATTGTCATTGTAGAGGTGTTTTTAGAGGGCGAACACCTCCCCATCAGGTTTGGGAAGAGGGGGTGGTGTACTGATGTCTGTCAGTGGAGAACTGGGTAGGTCTGACAACATTGCCTAGGATTTCGACGCAGCAGAGAGTTGTCTGTAACTTCCTGTTCTGTTGTAAGCAAGCACACTGAACTTCTGGTCAGGGCCGGGAATTGCTCTCCCTGCCACCCCAAGGCCAGGTTCCACAATGCTCCCCGCCAACCGAACCCCCCCAATCAACAGAATGGCAACCGGATGGCAGGGGCAGTTCTAGAGTTCTAATTTTTTTTCTTTCTTTATCACTTTTTTTTATCTTTTACATTTTTAGCTTGTCGGTTACTGTTTTTATTTTTATAATTTTCTATCTTGGTTTATTTTTAGATTTATTCTTATTTTACTTTATTTTTTCATTTAATTGTTTCTTATTTTTATATCAATTTTTTTTCACTTAACTTTATTGCCATCACAGAGGAAAAAACAACCCCGTGTGATAATTGGAGACGACAGGTTCTCTTTATTGACACAGTCACCTCCAAAACAGGAGTTTTAGCACAGCACAGAAGGCAACTTACCGCCCGGAACTTTATTTTCCAGGTGTCGAGGGACTCCACGCCGCTGCCTCGGTGGCCTTGTGGGGAATCCGGGCCTGCTTCTGGTATATCAGCAGCTCTCACTGAAGCACAGAGCTCTCTTCCAAAGTAAAGATGGGCTCTGCCACCTAGACACCATTGCCTGTATTTTATGAATGGGATGGACTACAGTTTTTGCAGAGGGTGGCGTAAAACAGATATCGACAAACATTCCCCCCATGGCTCACTTGGCCTAAAATGGAAGCCAACATAAGACAAGCTCAAGGTTGAGAAAGATGCATTTCCTATAGCTACCTTGAGACGTTTCCAAATTAAAGCTGTGTTTAGGGTCGCTTGGTCTTTTAAAACACAAGACCTTTATTTCACTGCAACACAGGTTACCCTTCACTACTGGGCACAGTAAAGGAAAGCTGGTTCCCAATTTGGCTCAGAACAATGCTGTATTGTAAGAACTCCCAGTCTTGGCAGACTGAACAGCAGCAGATTCTCCACCCTCGGTCTCTGGCACAGAGTATTTCAGTTTTTACACGGTGTGCCATTCACTGATGGGAAAAAAAGAGTACAACACTGGAGACTGAAGAATGCCGGCTGCTCTAATGTCCTTGTAAATGAGAACACTGTGCAGCACCACATAGAAAGAATGAGGATGAAGTAGCACAGGGCCCGACATTCGATTACTCTGGTAATTTTTTGAATACCAACATAGAGACATATAGCCCATTTACCACACTAATGCTCATTTTCCTGATAACGGTCCTGGTTTTGTTGAATTGGGCATTTCATTGACTAAGTCAGCCAGCCTTGACCAGCTTAACGCCATGTATTTGCGAGGACACAGTTCCAAAGCCCCAGTAAACCAATCAAAAGCACTACTCACGGACCAGACCCTGCAGCCCACCTATGCCAAGCACTCTTGTTATTTCGCTAGCCAATGAGCACAACAGGGAATAGGGACAGTCTCATTGGACAGGAAAATGGCACTTAGTGGGGCATATTTCAAGGTCAATGTGACTCTTTAACCTCCCTGGCGGTATGATTATCCCTTTACTTTTTAATTTCTCGCCGGTTCCGCCCCCTTGCAATGCTGGCGCTTGCAGGGAAGGAACCCGGAAGACGCCCGACTGTGGGTCAGGGTTACCGCTTTTGGCACGGAAAATATACCCCGGAGCCACACTCGTGATTACAGCCAGGAAGGTTAAATAAAAAAATATCTATCTATATTTTTACCAAGGAGCCTAAGCACCAGAAAACCTGGAGTGAACATGATCAATATTACCTTGAGTTCAGGTTTGGCTCCTTTGCGCATTTTCCCTATGATGCTCAAGAAGGAATTGTACACAGCGTCATCACTCAACTTGTCCCCGTAGCAATCAAAACAATCCTGCATTTTAACCAGACCTTTCTCCGAGAACGGCAGGAGGGAGAGGCAGTGGGCAAGGTCCCGCCATTGGCGCTCAGTTCTATGAAGGAAAAATAGAAATGTAAAACTGCTCCTACAACAGGATATTCCTTTAAAGACAGAAGATTCTACAAAAGGTGAACACAACACAATTTTTTGTTGTAGTTGGCCAAATGCATCAAAGCGATCAGTTGCTTGGCCAGCCTCTACACTTACAAACTAGTCCTGGTTTGATAGTTAAAAAGATAAAACTAACACCTAACCCTCTGCTGTGCTCTGTGGTTCTGTTTGCTGATACCAAGTCACTGTTTTGCCCTGCAGTGTGGTAGGGTCCAGTGGAAGTTATTCCAGAGCACAAAGAGGGACAAGGCAACCAATAGTCCCAGAAAGTCAGATATTCTTTCAGCTCTGTCAGCACTTTGCCCTCATTCACACCTGAACGTTTGTAGCGCGTTCTACGCTCGAACGCTCTACAAAACGCTCAAACACGAAAATCCCATTGTTTTCAATGGGTCTGGTTCACACCTTGGCGTATTTCAGCCCATCCCTAACGCGCTACAAAACGGCCCACGCCTGAAAAGGTACATGTACTACTTTGGGCCGTTTTTGTTGCGCGTTTCCATTGGGATACAGCCAAGTAGAAATCGGAAACGCGCGTTTGTCGCGCAATTTTTACTGCGAATCACGGTAAAAACGTGCGACAGACGCGCATATGCAATACGCCTAGGTGTGAACCAGGACTTAGACATCAGATCAGCAGTGCGAGCAGGGGAAAACACTAAATTTGTTTTTATTTGCAGGCAAGCAGCGTGCAGTCTGCTCTCACCTGGCGGTTCGGAAACGGTGGCACATCTTCTCCACCAAACTTTCAGTCTGCTTGTCCTTCGTGATGTAGGAGAGGAGATGTCTGAGTAGAATGAAACACAATAAACAGGAGGTAGTCGAATAAACCAACATAGAATTTAGCAACTATTCTACAGCCACTAACACATAGCGCTCCCTGTGGACAAAGCCCAATGGGGTATATTGCTCACTTCTATAGGCCTACAATGTGTAAGATTTTACATGCCTCCTTGATCATGTACAGACTTCTACAGCCATATGGAGGTCTTAACCATTCCCTACACCAGCAAGGGGAGAAGAAAAAAAACATTTTTGGCGTTCCATCTACTTTGAGACAAGATCTTTGATTTGATTATAAAATATAAGCTGTGATGTATTTAATAGCTGTTGCAGGATTAAAAAACACTTTAGAAGCAGAAGGGAAAGACGGTTGTCTGGAAAACAAGCAGAGGGCCTTTTGACTGTAGAAACCCATTTCATGTTTCTACATGTTTTTAGCACGCAGAAGTATTTATACGCACTACTTCTGTAGCTAGGGAAGACATAAAAAACGGGGATCAGCCATATTTGTGTTGCATACATGTGCTCCGTGTCTACCAGTTAAAGAACTGCTTCACTTTCCTCCATTACCATAGGCCATCCTGACAATAGGCCCTATCCTGTAAAATGTTTCTCAGTGGCCATCCTGACAATAGGCCCAGTAGGGGTCAGTAGGTGAGGAGATATTTGCTCAGTGCATCAGCATCTACACCTGCCCAACAAAACCAGCATACATATCTGTGTGAAAAGTGCTCTAAAGAATTATAATGCTGTGACAGGACAACCTCATGGTCAAGGCGGCAGCCCAAGGCATTCCATGCTGAAAAAGACACAGCATTTAAAGTATTTGTGAAGTTTGCAAAAGCCAATAACTAACTTTTCTGTTACAACTAAAAAAGTTATATCCTCTTTCTGGGCTTTTTCCTCCATGATCACATGACTGTGCTGCTTTTTCTCCTTCCAGAGAGTGAGGTTTGTGTCTGCAGCATGACATGTGATGTGCAGCAGCATGACTTACAGGACAGTGAGGTAAGCCATCAAACTAGGGGGAGTTTCTATAGTAGAGTGCAGCCAGCAGAATGACGTGAAGGATAGGAAGGAAAGCTCCTCTCAATCAGCAACACAGGTGTGTCTGTGTGTCTGTGTGTGTAAACACATTGCACTGTTGCTCCGATCCGTAAGCTCAGGGGAGGTGTGGTCAGACGACAACAGGAAGAGTGGGGCTGACAATCAGCACATATTTGCTACTGGAGTGTATAGTGAAGCATAAATGTACAACATAGTTAAGGAATGTATTAAAATATGCATTTTAGGGTTAACAAAATTTAAACTTTGCTACTATAAAAACCATAACATTTCCCCAAACACTCAAAGAATTTCCCTGCGTCACCACTTTCACTCCCATTATTATAGTCTGAGACAACTGAAATGAGGAAGTCCAACTTTAGATCGTACTGAGGACCCCTACTGGCAAAGCGGAAGACTGCTGTTGCCATCCTTGGAAAAAGATCATTAAAAAAAAGGGAAGGGAAAAAAACCCCATCAGACTTGTTGTGAAGGCGATACGACATGTTAAAAGGTGTGATGTGGATAGTCTGATGATATGACCTGATGAAGAGGGAGGTGTAAATGACAAGTGGTGATCAGGTGAAAAAGTTAGTGGTGCAGAGAAGGTTTTGCATGGAACCTGACAGGGAAGATCAAATCAGTATATCTTTGTCTCTCACAATTACCTCATTATGGTGTGAAAAGCGTCCTCCTCCACGCCACAGTCTGGATCAGAGAGGCGGCTGATAATGTCAGGTAAAAGGTTGTAAACAGCATTGCCCTGGGGGACACAAAAAACCCAGTGGTAAACAAATTCCTCTTGTAAGCGAGTGACATTTACCCCACCAACACCTCACTCAGCACACCTTGTTGGACAGCTCAGTGAAGAAATTCTTGGCCAACGAGGAGATCTCTTGGTCAGCATCTATGAGCAGAACTGCCATTTCACTGACTTGCCCTTTGACCTTGACCATGTCCTTCAGGATCAGATGGGTCATTACAATAGCAGATGTTTTACGCACTTCACGGGACTCATCTCGGAGTCTGCAACGACATGAGCGGAACTGGGGTGAATAAAGGCTACATGTTCGGTACTGGGAATTTACCATAAACCAGAAAGGCCTTTAAGTCACAGGAAACAAACCATGTTAAATATGATATTGTAATACTGTAGCTATTCAGACTGGCCTTGCAGTACAATGTAGAGCTTGTCCTAAAGCTCTGTGCAAGCTAAGATGAGAGAGACTGATCATTTAAAATGGTCTTAATTCATGAATGCATACATACCATATTTTTCCGTGTATAAGACTATACTTTATCTTCAAAATATTTATCTAAAAATGAAGGGGAGTCTTATACACGTGGGGCAGAGAGCAGAACCGCGGTTTCAAAACTGCCGATACCTCTGCAAACTAGCCACACGAGTGAAACTTCCGATTGCAGAGACAAGCTAACAGGTTTCCTCCAATAATGAGCCGTATGTACCCGACGTCAGCTGATGCTGCGGAGAGCGTGTAGCCAGTGCCCCAGATGCAACAAGGAGCCCATAAAAATGTCAGAACACAAACAAAATACCGGTAAATACCGGTACCAGTAAGCGGCTGTCTTACTCTGCAAAATATAAACTGGATGTAATCAGTTATGCAAAAAAGCATGGAAAATATTGATTTCTGAATTTTGAGTAAGAAAAGTGGGGGCGTCCTATACATGGGGGCATCTTATAGACGGAAAATTACGGTAATTTTGAAAGCAAGAATACCATATAAACAGTCTTGTTAGCAGTAAAGCAGATACAAATATTTCTGACAATGTAATTTTTTTTTTTAATTGTTTTCTTTTGCTTCATTTTGCAGTTAACCTGGCCATACATTGCTGACTTGGCCAAAAGTCGAGCATGGTGTGGCCCCCTGGGAAACAGGATGCCACCCCATCCGCAATCCTCGCAACGAGACTTGTATTCCATTTAATTGCATCAAAAGGAGAAGGTCTGAGAATTCTCAGGCAAACAGTGACTGCAGCCAGGAGAGTCCTCTCACATTGCCGACCATTTCTGAAAAAAGCAAGTCTCCTGGCCGCCAGGTTGTAGTACTTTAGGAGTTAAAGACCCAGCACATGTACTGTACTCCAATCCAGTGTTACAACTTCATCATTTCCCTTTCATGAGCGGTTTTATCCCAAGGCATCCCAAAAACACTGAAGGCAGAGTCAGCCAGGCAACTAAAAAACTTTCAGTTGAAGGGTCATCAATGACGGCCTCCATTTTACTTGCTACCATTGCCATTAAGAGGATGGAGCCATCTATTCCGTTTACCTGGCATAGAGGTGCGGAGTCCACGGTTCAATAAGATTTGGGAAGCGGATGCTGAGATCCCCCAGAGCAATCATGATATTAGAGCGGACGCCAGGCAAATGAGACTTCTCCAGGAGAGTGAAAATAAGACGCAGGTGAGAGTCGCAGAAATCGGAGCTGGAGGAGGAAATGCGTTAGATTGATCCATTCAGAAAAAATATGGAATACAGCAACATCATTTCCTAATCTTACCTGATCATCATGAACTTGGTTAGGGCGAGGGTGGCAGCTGTGCACAGGACAGGATCACTGTCTTTCCCAGAATTCTTACACACCTTGAGCACCAGTGGCAGAAACGCAGATAGGTATTGTTGGGCTAAGGGATAAAGCATCATACAAAATCACCTTCAATAAAAACTCAGTTTTCCAGAGCAAAAGTTTACAGATTTAAACACTTACTATTCAGAAGCTCATTTTCACAAATCTTTTGGATGAGTTCAGCATCGGCATCATCAGCGGATGCCCCAACCAGCCCCAGGTCTTCTTCTCCCATACTTTCATTGCCCTAAAAGCACACAGCATGACAAGAGAAATAACTCCACCACGTTCAGGACTTAAGCAAAAACAGATTCTCAAATGTGGCAAAGTCGAGAATACAACAAAAGAAAAAGGGCCTTCGTTCAAAGGAGAAACTATGAGGCGAGTGATTTCCACTAATCTTCATAGTTCGAGCCGACGTGTGACAATGAAAAACTGTTACACGTCGGCTCTAGTGATCGGGACGTGAGCAGAAACATGCCGCCGATCTGCTCACTTCGATAGTCTCCCTGCAGTGAACGGTGACCGTCACTGCTCCCTGCAGGGATTCCCCTCTGATCCTCCAGCGCAGACTGGAGGAATGGATGGGGAGGGCACGGCTGGCTCTGCCTCTAGATAGGCAGAGCCAGCTGTCACTGACGCAGCTGGGTGGATCGCAACAGTAATTTTGGGATCCGTTCCAGCTGCGGCGCTCACAGTATATTGCGGACAATAGCCCATGATATACTGAGCTTTGGGTTACGGGAGGACGCTAGTATATTCAGTCCCGTGACCCTAAAGAGAACTATGGGGGAAACACTTACCCCATAGTTCTCTTAACCAGAAAACCTGTCACTCTGGGTCTAGTTCGACTTTGGTATGGCAGTCCTGGCTTGAATGAAGAGCCTCCCCTGGGTGCAATGGGAGATTTGGAAATGGCTTGGAACACGGAAGTCCCGCCCCCTTGCCCTCCACCACGAGGCAAGCTCCACAGAGCACCCGACAGGGCAAATAGGCAGGGGGAAAGATAGGCTGAGTGTCTACCATTAAGTTTTGGGAGAGACCAGCTACCTCTTCTATGGAAACAACCTCTGTACCACAAGGCAAGGCTCAGGAATCCAGTACCCTAGCAGAGCCCCACAGAGGGTGACTGCTGACCTCAAGGCCATCCAGTCGGGACAAAGAAACAAACATTGCGCTGACCCAGACGGTAAGAAACACAATCAAAAACTGAGGGACGAGGTGGGTGGGAGGGGTTTTTAACCTTGTCTGATTGTGTTTCCTGTAGACTGAAGATCCAATCATCTCTCAGGTTGCTGTCCTGGAAGATGATTGGAGAAAGCATTATAAAACACGGACCTAAAAACAAAGTGGAACAGGATAAGGGTCCTATCTGATTTTAATTGTTGTCTGTCCTGTTTGCAGATTCCCCTTTACCGTTGTCAACAAAATAAGAAAATCTAAAAATTTTACAGTCATCATAAAAAAAAAGGTGAGGGAATCTCTCTCGTTGCAGAGACACATGATCTAGAGCAGGGGAAGGTAAACTCCAGCTGTGGTGCAACTACAAATGTCATTGGGCTTGCACAAGACTGACAGCTACATACATGACAGGATTTGTAGTTTCACCACAGCGCGAGGGCCAGTGTTTGGACAGTTGTCTCTAAAGCAGGGGTAGGCAAAGGCAAGTATTTCCCCTGGCTTACCATGTCTGAAGTGACAAAGTTGAACCCTCTACACATGCTACCCAAAACTGGAAAATAGATGCGGTTTGGAAATGTACATCCTCCTGCACTCACCCTGCTCTTTCTTTGCTTGCTTTTTCCCAGTTTCTCAGCTTCTTGTTCCTCCAACGATCTTTGCCTCCTGAGCTCTGCGCTGACTGTACATTCCAGATGCGCCACCAGTTGTAAGGCCATATCTCCAGCCAGAGACAGCAGGTGGGCGAGAAGGAAAGCTGGAACTGCCGACGCTACAGTGACCGGGAAAATAAATAAAAACCTGATGTTATCTAAAAATCAGCAGAACTTCTGCCTGGTGCCCACATGAGTTACTAAGGGGGACAAACCAAGCTGTGCAGCATTTACAGTCAAAAAAGGCACAAAAAAAAATGAAATGCCGTAACTGCACATTAATAAATGTAAATTATAGTATTTAGCATAGCAATTACTTTTTGGTTCACAAGCCATTATTTTTGTCTGTGTGCAGACCAAGACGTCGAGCAAAAGGGACGGTGTAAAAGGCAAAACAAAAATAGCTCCTTCACTTCCAAGAAAAAAAAAAAAAAAGTACAAAACGTCATTCACAGTCCTTTCAATTCTCAGGCCCTGCAGACAACAATTTTTTAAAAACTTGTCACATGTTACAATCGCCTCTGTATTTACCAGCAACATAGCATGGTCTACCCGACTGGACAAAACTGAATAGACTATTTTTGATGGGCCTTCAAACTACATAAATTTACTTAAAAAGTAGATTACACCGATTGTAAAAAAGGTATGGGACTTCATACCCTTTGTTCTTAGCCAAAATTTACTGTTTCTGGTCCCTTGTAGGTGTAGGCAGTCTCTCAGGTGTCTAAGACGACCCCCTAATTTTCCTACTTAAAACATAGGTTTTGGGCTATACTCGTCATATAAGACTCCCCCACTTCTGAGGCAACACCATTTAAAATCATCATGGATGCATGTGCGGTAATACTGTATGTACGGCAGCTTCGGCTACATACAGTATACCACGCTGAGCCGATCACGGCGAGCAATGTATTCTATTAATGAATACAAAGCTTGGATTGGCAGAGGTTGTGTACATCGCTCGCCGTGATTGGCTCAGCGCGGTATACTGTATGTAGCCGAAGCTACCATACATACAGCATTACCGCACATCCAGCGGGCTGACAGATTATGGATGTTAGTTTTGGGCCAGCTTGGCGCAAACGAACTTAAGGTATACATTGTATACCCGGCGTATAAGACAACCCCCGATTTTTGGGGGATGTTTTGAAGTATAAAAAGTAGTCTTATACGCCAGCAAATACAGTGCGTGTGTATAATATATATACATTTATACACACATATTTTATATATAATGGTTGTCATTTGTATAAAATGCTTATCATTTCTTCAGGGGAGTGACCCATTTCCCAGCTTTCCTTGAATCACCTTACCTTCTTGGTTGTCCAGCTCCTGCAGGACCTGTTGGCTGCATCTCTGTAAAACTTCAGCACAGATTTCCTCCGGCTCTTCTGCCATCTCATAAATCAGCCTCACTGCCGTCTCTTTGAAGGGCAACCAGTACAAGTTCTGCTGGGCGATTCCTGACATAGAACACAAGCACATTAGCTCGAAAGAATAGCTCCTTAGCAATACAGAATGCATTAGATTTTGGTTTGTTGGAAAGAAGAGGGTTGGAGGGAATGAGAGTACACTGCCACAGAGGGGGATTTGTGGACCCATGAAAATATGCATTTTAGCCAATTATTTTAGCCAATTAGTTCAGTATTCACATGCAACAACCAAATACATTTCCGGCCATGTTCTGGTGCCTGAAAAGGGAGTGCACAGGGTTTACCTCTAGGCTTCAAAGCCGCTGTGTTATAAAAATTAGCATTTACTACCTCCCCTGTCCAGCAATGCCAATGTCTTTTAGCGGCTGCTATTGACACCTCTGGGAGTTAAGCATACCATGCTTGCCACTGGGTGCTGTGGTTCCACCCAATGGCTGTTATGCCACTACCAAGATCTAAAATATTGTAGTGCCCAGTAGGAGAACCAAAGTGCACAGCAGGAGACATGCTATTCAAAGCATTTTACATAGGGAGCACCGAAATTTCGGCTGCCGAAACAAATCTGCCGAAAATGGCACTTGTCAAAATGCAGAGTACCAATTTTTTTTTGCCCAAAATCGAGGTGTATTCCTATTTTCTCTCCTCCCCGCTGCTCTATGTCCATTCTGACACAGCGTTCAGAGGGGAGGAGAGCGCTGTAAGCCACGATGTCACTGGAAGTTGAGCTCTCCTCTCACCCGGCTTGGCCTCCTGTGACAGGCACATCAGGATGTTTAGACCCCTGATGTTTCCCATGAGCCCCCAACTGTAAAGTAAAAAAGGGAAAAAATGTAGATTTAATATTTTTGGTTTAGAAATTTCATTTCGGTGCACCTCCAACTCCACACATATGAGACCTATCCAGTACTGTAACCCCTTTTAAAAACAGAAGTCAGGGACCAAATACAGTGCTCTCAGTGGCTACGGAGAAGTTTCCATTTGTAAGTGGGACAGAAGGTACCTTGTGGTTCCAGCTATTAGACAAGATTTTAAAGGTAAAAAAACGTTTAAAAAGGCCCACAAGCGCAACTTCACAGCAATAGATGCCGCCCCCCCCAACCGAGAGTTAACAGTTAGTTAGAGCCTTACCTCCTATAACAGCTTCTTTCAGGTTTTGGAAGAGGCAATGGTCATTTGGAAGGCGAAAGGGTGCCGATTTTTTACCAAGGGGTGACTGAAAACAAAAATAGAACATTTGCAAGTTACCTTTTTGATCAAGAGACCCTGTCACCATACCAATTTACCCATAAGGCCAATTTAGTAAGGAAGTTCAAAAACTTCACTAGACAACAAAAATTTATTTTTACTTCACGTCCATTAATTGCACATGGACAATACATACAAAACTGTAGGCAAGGCGATAAGCCCTCCCATTTACCAGCACGCCTCATTTTTGTAGCGCAGCAGTACCAAAAGCATGATTATAAAAACACGGCGGGGGTGGAATCTGTGCTCCTTAATGGACTCCAAGAAAGCAAAATTGAGAATACGAAATGCTATTTTTATTCTTGCCCACTGAGGGACAGTTAAAATGTTGAGCCTTCAGAACATCCAAAAATAAATAAATTACTGAGTGAGGTCAACCATGCAAACTAATGCCAAGAAGCACAGAAAAATGTGGGACTGCCTGCAACTTAGAGCTGCCGGAAGGATCTCACGCCTGCAGCTGGCATCAGATGAGGCTGCATCGTTCGCCTGGTACAAGACCAAGTGGCATTCACTGCAAGTCTGGGAAAAAAGTAGCTTGATGCCCAAATGTAGTAGAGTGCACCTTGATAGGAAAGTGTGGGGCCTGATCCTTACAAAGGATTACAAAGGGAATCCATCTTCCAGAAAGAAGCAGTGGCTGAAAGATTCTCACAGCCTAAACTGCACCCATACAAAGGAAAATATCCTATATCCTTTTGATGACATGGACCTCACCTTGTCCTTCTGCAGCTAGGGTTCGTTGCTGGATAAAGTTGCCACTTCAGGCACTCGGCTTGCACAGATGGCCCAAAACAACCACCCGGTGGGTTAACCCATATCAAATGGCTTAAAATTGAGTCTTCTAAAGCAGGCCTTCTTAAACTTTCTCCACTCGTGACCCCTTTTTGGCCGAGGACATTTTTTTAAAGGGACCCCCCGGCGTCGGTCAGTGTCTCTCTCGTCTCCCCCCCCCAGCGTCTCTCTCCTCTTCTCCCCCCTAGCACCAGTCAGTGTCTCTCTCCTCTACTCATCTCTCTCCCCCCCCAGCTGCTACCAGTTTCACAGCACTTACTACAGAGTCAGAGATTTCAACCAACCTTTCGGCTATCAGAAATTTTCAAGATGCAGTTGCAGACTTCTTGGGCGAGCTGATAATCCTTCTGTTCATCCTGAGCCAGACCCACATTCACAAGTGTCTCCAGGTTACTGAGCACAATTTCTGTCTGACCCCTGCAGAAGAGTATAGGCCAGTAAGATTACAGAAAGCAACCCCTAACACAATGGCTTGACGCGTATACTAAACTTACCGAGACATCATCCCCAGCATCATGACGGCAGCTCGGCGCTCCAGGTCAGAGCAAGGGGACTTGAGCGTAAACTTTTCCCAAAGCAACTGGGAAACAGCAGGTCGAATCTCCCCCTTCTGCACAAACTCCAGAACCTGGAATTGGAATACAATCATAGCTGAACTTAAAAGGTAATAAAAGTCAAGAAAAGAAAAAAGAAAGGGAGAAAGGGGGGAGGGTTTATACTTACGATCTCTTCCAAAGACTGGATCACCCCAGCAGACGAGTCGACCATAAGCAGAGAAAGATTACATATCAGATTCTGAGCTCTCACCCTAAAAGACAGAAAGGGTGCTTTTAGGAGGCTGTGGCTAGGTTAAAAATAGGTACTTGTCGAGTCTAGGGGTAGAGGAACAAGCTACAATATGTGCCTTATTCTTTCCTACGGCTTAAAAAAAAATAAACCTGAAGTTTAGCTATAATCATGACGCCTAGTTATGTCTAAATGTACACATCTGACACTGCTCATGGACAGCTAAAACCACACGTCAGACCTGAACATTTAAATGACCGCTGCAATATTTTATCTAGACAATCTGACTACAGTTGTTGGGGGCAACAACTTACCGTTCAGGTTCTGAGCCAGAAGAAAGGTACAGCTGGCGGTAAGCACTCACTACAGCATCACGAACACCAGGCTCCTTTGACCAGACAAGAGGCAGCATGCGGCGTACACCAATCACAGCCTGAGGAACCCCAAACTGTGACACCGTGACAAAGAACTCAATGACTTCCTGTACCACTGCAAAGAAAGAAACCCCAAAAAGGTTAGCTTATTCTAGTTTTGCACACTATTAAAGTTAACCTAAAAAAACACACCCACTGGAGTTCACCTGCCTAGCACCCAGTCTACCCAAAGTGACCCCAAAGACTTACAAATATTGTGGTTGATAACACACAGGTTTTTGAATCTGAAAACAGACATCAGTACTTCCCTATTGGTCTTTTTAAATGTTATAAATGATCCACACAGAGGCTCTGGAAGAGTTGTGTTGTTGGGATAACAAGGCTGCAATGGAGAATTATCACTGTGTAACCTAACAGACCATCGTGTAATATATGAATTAAACACTATAAAAAGAACAGTATGTAACTTGTCTGGATATGGATTGATAAAGCAAGCTTTATTAGGTATTACCCAGATATGGTCCGTGTGCAGATCCTGTCACCCTGCGTCTGGTACTCTTTACATCGAAATAGTGTACGTGCTATCCCATTAAAATAACGCCCCGTGTTCTCCTATGTGTTTCATATCTTTTTCTCATATACTAAAGTAGAATATCATTACAGAACGAACAAACAAGCCTATATTAGGATAACCGGATAAAGGCCGTATGCAAGTTAAGATGTCTTTCTTCCTAAACTGCTTACGTGTTATTTTAAGCAAAGATAAGACCTATAACCATATATGGTACCATAACTATTTCTTTGTCTGAGGTGTATATAAACCGAGACCTGACGTCAATAAAATTAGCATATTGTGACTATCACATCGTGTCTGTCATTTTGTGCTCCCGGAGCTCTGATAAGGGATTTCTCTGGTTGGTCCGGTTAAAAGAGTCCACGTACCCTAACATGTGTGTTAGTCAAACTACTTTTACAGAAGGATCTCTGCAGACAGGCCTTTGTTTGGTTCTAGCGGGTGAAATGTGAGGCCATCAACTCCAAAGCCTGCTGATAGTGTTCTTATGTTAACTTTTTGGGCCTAATTTCAAAGATGGCTAGATCTACCCTTGTTTCAATGTGTGGTTGTCAGCAAAAGCAAACCTTGCTTATGTATTTTCCCACATACAGTGAATGAAATTATACAAGTTTATGACACTCACCACAAGTATGATTCATTAAGATCACTCAAGGCAATAAAGTTTGTTGGTTACTCATAAGACCTACATATCAAAAGCTAGGAGTGTATTTTTTGTTGCTGTGGCACTAAGATCTGGAATACTCAATATGTTACCACTTAGAAAGCCATCCACAACTCTGCCCCCGGCTATATCCCTAACCTGGTCTCAAAGTATCACCCTAACCGCCCCCTCCGCTCTTAAATGACCTCTTGCTTTCCAGCTCAGTCATCAACTCCTCCCATGCTCACCTCCAGGGTAGAGTTTTTCCCAACCTTTGGAACTCTTTACACCAATCTGTCAGTCTCCCACTCGGACTGTCTTTAGGCATTCGATAAAGACTCATCTCTTCAAGGAAGCCTATCCCACCTCAACCTAACCACTAGACTGTCACTTTCTGAAACAATTCATCCCCACACAGCCACCTTTTGTATCACTTACCCCTCCCTTTTAGATTGTAAGCCCTCACGGGCGGGGCCCTTCTTACCATCTTCTCTTTTAACTGTCTTCCTTATATTGTAAAGCGCTGCGCAAACTGCCGTCATCATTCCAGAGTTCCATTAATAGCACTTATTACTTTTGAAGATAAACCAAAAAACCCTGCACTATATTATTCTTGGCTACATTCTTGGTGTCTGTATCCTGGGGTTTTATAACGTTAGCAAATCCATTCTCTGTTCTTACCGGACGAGGCAGCTTCATACATCATCTTGCTGATGACATCAATAGCTTCTTCAATCTTTAAGGCAAAATAGTGAGCATCTGTCAGGTACTGGACCAACATTTCTTGCTTGCTCAGTTCAGTCTGGTTCTGCTCATCTTGAGACAATTCAGAGCTCTTGCTTTCTGCAACAGGAGGTGGCAACTGCTCATCACTTGGCGGAGATTCCAAATTTGGGTCCTCTGCTGCTCAAAAGAGAGATCACAGATATTTTGAAAGATTTTATAGCATAGTAGGTATAATAAACAAGCAACGCACAACCTACAGTGGAAGCATATGTTATCAGACAAACCTGCTTGTGAATACCACTAAACAAAAATCAAGTCACAAGGACTGCATAACACATCTGATTCATGCAAACATTGTCAAGATGTTCAGTTTTGTAAGCATCAAAATGAGTGACCTAAGGGACCTCTTCTTGGGGTGTAGGAACAATGACACTAAGGATAGCTATGCTCAGTTTAGGGATTCCATGCCTTGACGAATATGTCAACTGCAAAAACAAACTTATTTGCTCCTTTTTGGACAGCTGAATTTATCATTGAAAGTGTCGCTATACCTGCTGTATACAGGTGAAACTCGAATAATTAGAATATCATGCAAAAGTAATTGCAGTAAGTGCTGCAAAAGGGGCCCAAACCAAGTACTGAGTACATATGCATGCTTGTACTTTTCAGAGGTCCGATATTGTTCTATGTACAATCCTTGTTTTATTGATTGCATGTAATAATCTACTTTTTTGAGGTTGTGGATTTGGGGTTCTTGGGGTTTTCATGAGCTGTAAGCCATAATCACCACAATTATGACAATTCACGGCTTGAACTATCTTGCTTTGCATGTAATGAGTCTCTCTCATATATTAGTTTCACATTTTAAGTTGCATTAGTGAAATAAATGAACTTTGCACGATATTCTAATTATTCGAGTTTCACCTGTAAGTGCAAAAAGAAAAACCCCAAAAATGCATTGATTCTACCAGAAATCTTTGATGACTACCAGCTCACAAGAAGGGGTTAAGTAGAGGGCTGTGTAACCCATCCGCAATAAAGCAGGCAAGGCTGTGTTGTAATGTGAGATAGGAGCAGAATATATGACAGTTATTTTCTGTATTGGAGATTTTTTTGTGCCTTGACATATGCTTCAAAGCAGAATCATAATGTATTGTGCACATGTAGTTTAGAACATTCTGATATGTAAGCATTTAAATATTGTGGATTACCGTGTAGTGGTGTTTAAATTTTAAAACCCAGTACAAGCAGATGCTACCTGTGAAGATTTGCTCCAGAATCCCCAGCACTGCATCCTCCTCTGCGTCCTCTCCCACGCCGAACAAGGAATCATCTGGGAATCTTGAAATCCCTTTCTTCACCAAGAAGATGGCATGTCTACAAAGAGGCAGAGATTGGGATGAGGAATGTCATAGCACAAATGCCAGCGGTTTACCCCCAGTGCCCCCCACACTGACTTGTAACTGGTGTTCTTCAGCAGATGCAAAATGCGCTCATGTAACTGCTGTATTGTATCGGTTTCCTCTTGGGGGTCATCTTCCTCGTTACGCTCCTGTGTGAGGGTGTGCAAAGTTTCCTTTAGCTCGGGGAGCATAGCTTCCCACTCTTCTTCTGGGGAAATCACCACCGCTATGGGGGAGAGAAAAACAAACCACACAAGAGGTCAAGGCAAAAGGTGATATACAACAGAGCCTATGCATTTATAACTTTTTAACTATGTTATCGGCTATGTTGGTTAATGCCGATCTATAAACATCCTAAGTCTTTATATATACCCTAGCAAAAAGGTGAATGCTCTAAACAGGAAAAGGTTGGAAATATTACAAAGGATGAAATGTAAAAAAGGTAGAAGGTAAAATGTGCAGAAAAGAGCAAAGAGTATAACAGCATGTGCAAGAGGAGTGTAGTTGTAGAAAGAGGACATCCAGTGCCGACGCTGGTCCCTGGCTCCTTGTGATTGATCTCTCGCTTTTCAGGGGAGACCTACTGCAGGAAAGCTTGGGGGACTAACAAGGCGGGGTTAGATACCCTAACTCTCCTTCCCCGAAAGGAGGATGAGATCATTCGCAGACAGAAGGCAGCAAGGGATAAGCATCAGCATTGAGTGTGACAGCTTCAGAGATCCATGTAAGCCGAAGTTGTTGACCTAACTTAGAGAACTATGGGGTTAAGGCTTTTCCCCATAGGTCTCCTTAGGGTAACGGGAGGACGCTAGTTTGTGTCCTCCTGTCACCCTAAGCTCAGTATACCGCGAGCTGTAGCTCACGGTATACTGAGACGCCGCAGTATACCACGAGCTGCTGCTCGTGGTATCCTGAGACGCCGCAGCTGAAGCAGATCCCGACAATTGTGCCGGGATCCGCCCAGCTGCGTGACAGGCAGAGCCAGCTGTCAATCTACAGGCAGAGCCAGCTGTACCCGCCCCCTCCCCCAGTCAGCGCTGGTGGATCGGAGGGGGGGGGGGAATCCAGCCCCTCCCCTGTCAAGGCAGAGAGCCGTGACAGGATCGAGAGGTGAGCTAACGCCGGTATGTGTGCGCTCACCTCCCGATCTACTGAGCCGACCTGTGACAGTCTCATTGTCACAGGTCGGCTAGAACGATGAGGTGAGTGAAAAGCATTCACCTCATAGTTCTCCTTTAAAAGGGAGCATGTGTGAGTGGGTGGACAGCAACAATGTTATTGAGATGGCAGCCATAAGAGATCTGAAGGGAGCGGACTCATGGAGCAGGATTACAGGGGCCAAGCCCAGACGCTGGTGTTAGCCATCACGGCGAGCATACCCAGTTGTTGCAAGGTCTTAAAGGACAGGGTTCACCTAGACCTGAGGACCACATCTCTGGTTCTGTATAGCACCCCACAGCTAACTCAACTTGATGCACCCACACAGGATTCAGGTGTTTGAAGCAACAGGCTAAACCTGCATCTTTTTCCAGGCAATGGTCTGGGACTAGACTCCCAAAGCTGTGCTGAGGAGTACACCGACTGGGAAAATGCTCAAAAGGCAATAGCCACAATAGCTAAAAAGCCAGACACTTGCTAGAAGTACCGGTAATGAGAATAACCAGGGTCTAAGATAAGTGCCCTTCACCTGTGCTGTATGATTAATACGGATTTTCCAATTGTGTATTCATAGCTAAGTGAATTTTCACCAGTCAACAAGCTAAAGGAAAATATTCCCATGAAGTGAACAGCCTTTTGGCCGTTAGTATATCAACCCCTTTGCCTCATCAAGGACTTCATCCATATAAATCAACTCCACCTCACATGGGCATTCCCAAACATACCTGGGGGTTTAACGCTCAGCTTCTCTTTAAGTTGTTTCAGTTTTTCGGTCTCTTTCTTGAGGGGCTCCTTCAGATCTGCACTACTAAGCTGAAAGTAGTTGTATAAAATTAAAATTTGATTCCAATTACATATATACCTTATCAAACATCAGTATATACACAGCAGTACCATTTTCTGACAGACTCTTGGGCATCAAAATATAATGGTTTGTGAGAACAAACGTCACATAAGTCAGAAATGGGAGGAAGATTGGGTAGTTTGGGTAGTAGACTGAATGGAAGAACAAATAGTGGTAAATGTGTTAATGCTGAATGTGAGGTATAAATAAATGTGTGTTTCGAATAAGAATAGCGTAATCAATAGAACAGACCCTTCTTAATGAATATATGGTATCTTTAATATTTATACAAGGGGAAACTTTATATTTGTGTATATTTTCAAAATGTGTAAATGTATTTAATGTGAAATAAAATATATATTAAACAGAGAAATGGCCAATGTTTTGGGGCCTTACAGGGTTGCTTTCTTTTAAATAAGGGAATTTACGAGGCCTGAAAACAAACATCTGACTCATGGGCCCTTAAATGTTCTGATGCAGTATCTGAACAGCACCTTCCATCACAAATGAGCACTCACTGACTACATTAGGCAAGTGCTTGGAGGGGGGCAGCTCTCGGCGGAAGTTTGTGAACCCCTTTTATTTGATTTTGTGGGCTTCCTAAAGGACACAAAATGGAGTAACACGGCTATTACTCACCTTACAAGTGAAAGGATTGTTGGCAAGGAAGGAGGCCAAAACCTGTATGGCATTCTTACAAACTTTCACTGACTTATCAAACAGCCGACCGACGACTAGAGTGACCACAGCCTGGAAGCGTGATAAAGGCAGAGCCTGGGGGGAAGAAAGTAAATAAATAAAACCAAATATGAGGAATTACAAATGGAGGGAACAGTAAAAGCCCAATTCAATAAAGCACCTTTTCTTGCACAATCCGATTGAAAATCTGTAGCACACAGGAGCGCACAAAAGTGTGCACATCGTGAATGTGTTCTTGCAGCGTATCCAGGAAGTTATCTCTTGTGTTCTTCTCGGTATCATCCAGGTGATCACCACTAAGCACACGGACAACCATTTCTCCTATGACAGTCAGCACTGCGTTCCTCATCATATAAGGCTGCAAAAAGAGAAAGGAACATGGGTGGATATGGCGCTGAGTGAAAAGCACGAGCCAGGAACTAAATGACTCCTCAGCGCACCTCTCCATCCAGGTAGTCCAGCAGCATACTGATATTGGGCATCATAATCGCAGGAATCCGCTCAGCTAGTTGAGTAATGAAGGTGGCTAAGGTCTTCACACTTGAGCTCTCCTTGGAAAGATCCTGACAAGACTTTTGGCCAATCTTCCTGTAAAGTTAGCAGAAAGATTCCAGTGACATTAGAAAAGGATTTTTATTTTAAAAAGGAAATATTTAAATATGGGTGACATTGCTAGTCTCCTGTGGCCTGGCTTTTATACTTAAGCCGTGGTTCACACCTAGGCGGCACCGTTTTAGCACGTTAGCAGCATGCGGTTATTTGCGTGATGCACATTTGTATGCGCGTTTTAACATGCATACATGACACGTTTTGATTGGCAGCTCAAACCATTGCGAGTAATGGAAGAACACGCAAAAACTCAAATGTGCAACATGCTTCTGTGGCATGTTTTTGGGCATTTGAAATTAAGTCTAAGGGGAGGAAAAGTTATTTTAACTGCCCAAAGAAGCTCCTGTATCTTTCAAGGCGTTTTTCTGCTCAGGTGAGAACAGGGCCATTAAAAATCATGTGATTTGTGTTGGGAAGTTAAAGCGATTCTCGAACTGCTCAAAAACTCCTAGGTGTGAACCGGGGCTAAAATGCTGAACTCCACGCGTAAAAGATAGAAAACCTTGTAGGTTTAGCCTGGGCAAAAAAGCAAAAAGCACAACGTATCCAATTCCTTGCTGCCTCAGCACTCCTCCACTTTCCGTGATGGACTACAATCTTAAAACAAATTCATAAACTAAACATGAGATTGTAGTCCCATCCCAGGAGTGAGCTTGGAGCGGTGACTACGCCACACACAGGGTGCACGGGGAACAAAAGTAGCCCCCCTCCAGAAGGAAGGACAGCGTCATCACCAATTCAGATGATTTGAGGATCTACAGCCGAGTGATACACAAATAAGATACATTTTTGTTAAAAATCCATTCAAGTATTTTAACTATAAAGATTTAACTCCTGAGTTTGTCATTTTAATGAAGAGCCTCAACCAGTCAAGTAACAATGAGGAACTGCTTATGCAGACACTGATCCTGAACAGACTGGTCCGAAAAGCAGAATGCATCAGAAGAGGCAATGGCTCTGCCATTGAGGCAAGTAAGCAGCTGTAGGAGAGGGTGACTTCATCAGTTTCAGTAAAAGGTACAGCTACCCTTTACGCCAAACAGTAAACTTTACTATGCAATTATAAAGTCAGTTACTAAAAAGCGTTGTATGACGAGCCACTCACCTCATGATCTCTCCTACCAGGGCCTTCATCCCATATTCTGTGGCCCACAATGTCAGAGCATGGACAAGTACAGGAGCCAGGTGCTCAAAGTGCTGCAGAAGTTGGATTACTTTCACACTGACACCTAAACGGGATGTAGAGAGGATCATAAAATAAGCTCTTGCGATGTTGTATCCCCCATCACTTTTAACAGCTACTAAAATAAAATGTTTATACAGCAAATTGCAGGCAGTACTTAAAATAGGAAGCTTCAATGTATAGGGTGGAAACCTTTTTTTTGGTTAAAATGTCTTGAAAGCAGAGAGATCTATTATTGCTTATATAACCCCTACATACATGAAAAGGCCGTTAGAGCCTTTCATAGTAAGGGGGTAAGGGTTGTATTAGAGCTAATATCTTCTAAGAAATACAACACCGGACAAGAAAAATGTGCGATCACAGAATAGAATGTTATGTGCTGTAGCATCTCCCTCACCTGTCTTGGAACATCTGTTTTCAGTGCTTCACATAAAGTGTAAAAGAGGAACCTGCCAGAATGGAAATATCAGAACTGTCATTGCCATTCTTGAAGGAGCATGCTCCATGGCTGTTATCCTTACCCTACTTCATGGAGAGCCGCTGACATGGAGCAGGCACATGTATGCCTGGTGAATTTACACAGTCCCTGCTTTAGCAAGGATAGGTTTGAGGTACGCAACTCTACTGCCACTAGCTGGGCATCACTAGTTCAGAGACTACAGGACTAGTTGCATCTCTTCCCCACCTGCCAGCAGATTGTAAAAGATAGGGATTTACAAGTACAGATACTTTTCCAGCTCCAAGACTAGAGAAACATTCAAAAAAAGTTAGGAGGTGGCTGTCATTTGTAAGGAGCACACGGAGTTCCTGGGATTTGTAATCGGTTTTCATGTAGGATTTTCTTTTTCTAAATATATACAAGTGATGCACCGATTCCATTTTTTCTAGTACAAGTACTGATACATTTTTGTTGTGTCATGTGACAGTTTTTCTAAAATACAGACTAATGATTTCAGGACAGTGGTGGAGCGCCAGAGCCCGGTCCCAGCTGCAGCCACCTGGTAGTTCGTGAAAATGCCAAGTATCGGCACCGGTATCTGAACATCCCTAGCAAATGATTAGCGCTCACATCTTCACCAAGCAATGAACTCTGTACACCCTGCTGGAGACCTTCTCTCCACACGCTCACCATGGACAACAGAGAAGTAGTAAGAGCAAGAAAGACCTGCAATTGTTTTGCATCAGAGTAATTGACGGTACCTTTAGTGAAAGGGGAGGTCAGACTGAGGAAAAAGATTTAGTTTACAGTTTTTATCTGACATTCATAGCAGATGTAATGGATTGTGCCATCAGTTTACCAAAGATATGTGATCACATCTCCCCTTCACCCTTTTGTGAGTAATGAACTCTGTTGTGCCCCCCAACTGGTCACTGTACATCCTGTAGGTCTCCTCATTGTCTGCACACTCAAGACTTCAGAAGGCAGAAATCGGATGAGAAAGACCTTCAATAAAGCTGCTGTGGGTCTGGCCTTACAGCGGCAGCGAGATCCTTCTCCACAGCCACCAAGATTACAGACCGGAGGCAACTGACAGAGATCACACCTTGGGAAGGAGTCACATTTGCCTTTGTTTCATCACGCGGCAGTACTAAAAACCTACCATTACAACAGAATCTAACTCACTACTGTAAGATATGGAGTCACCTTTATGCAGGTCAGGAGAACCGGCTTAGCCAGCTACATATCAGCATCAATAGCATATCAGCGTGACAACCAGGCATCTAGCATTTTCAGGGGGTCAGCAGTGGCAAGCTACACAATCCTAATGGCAGGTTCCCTTTTTAAGGTTTTAAAAACCTTGCTAATATTCTACAATTCAATTTGCTTGTGTGGTCAGTGCAAATAGCCCTTGCATGTTGTGCTTCCCATTAAGAAGTACAGCATCTACATAAATCGCAACACATAATGAAGCTCTTTACAGAGAGCCAATCCACAGTGGCCACCACACACAGCATACAATCCAGTATCTCATTCTCCCACACAATGCACAAATTCATCAGCGTGTTTTCAGCAGGAAAAGGAAGTCCACAAACACAAGTGGAAGACAATGGACCTGGTGGGAGATTCAGAAGAGGTTTCCCATCACCTCAAGAACCATTTTAGCCAGTGAGCCATTGGCCCCGTAATGATTAACAGAACACGGGCGACTAAAATCTTTGCAAGCCAAGGTTATGCACTTTGGAATACAACCTATGTGGCCTACATTTCAACTGATTTTCTGGAAGTTGTCCAGCAGCAGACTGCAGTGACAGTAAAAAAAAAGCAAGAAAGTCATGTGACCATATAAAATGGCTTACCCAACCATCATAGTTGTCTGTGTTGCCACCGCTTAAGAGATTGCCATCTAATATATCAAATTTAACTTTCATAATACACATGGCACTACCTTTGTTTTATAGGCTATACCCAGGCCAGAATTGATGACTTTACAACTTCTGTTCCCCACATCTGGGTCAGCAAAGACATAAAACGGCAATGTCATCTCTATTACGGCCGGCTTGCTTATGTATGGATTAAGTACTGAAAGCATGGAGTCCGGTACTTACTCAGTGTGTCATTGGAGCGTTTCACAGCTACTCCCAGGAGATGCGATAATGCCTCCCACAAAGGCTTGTTCTTCAGAGCTCCTATGCTCGGATTTTCCATCATCTTATAGCAGCAGCCGGTTACCATGCTGAAAATAAAGTGAGGTCACACAAATGGAAAAGCAAACCGTTTTATTCAGATTAAATAGCAGATGTCATAGACGGCCATCAGATTACCAAAGATATGTGCTCATATCTCCCCTTCACCCATTAGTGAGTAATGAACTCTGCCCTGCCCTCTTACTGGTCACCGCACATCCTGTAGGTCCCCATCAGTGCCTGCACACTCAGACTTCTGAGGGCAGAAATATACAAGAGACCTGCAATTAAGCTGCTGTGGGTCTGGCCTTACAGCGGCAGCGAGATGCTTCTCCACAGCCACCAAGATTACAGACCGGGGCAATAGGCAGAGATCACATACACACAGAGAAAGGAGGAGTCACATTCGCCTTGGTCTCATCATATGGCAGAATAGGTCAAAATCAGACAATTTTAGAGTGTTTTGTTTACAAGTTTATAGTGGTTAAGCCTCAGTGGCGGCCATTAGTGCAGTGTACACGACTCACAGATGTGAGAATATATTGAGGGTTGGCAGGTGCGTCCAACTTAAAACAATGCATAGAGCACATGTCTCGTTTCAGTGCCTCCTGGAATGCCATCAGAGGTTACTCATTACAAACAAAACAAAGCAGCACAATAGCCATTAGCACCCTACACAAAGATCATTCGTTGTTAGAACGGTTCCCATGACCCTACATTATGAACCTGTTCTTCCCAGCAATTGGTTACATTCTTCAGCCACCAAATTTATAGCTCGCACCTCGTTTCAGGGGCCACTCACACCACATCATCTACAGACTAGACCAGATTGTTTCCGGACCCAACATACATCCAAATATATCCCTATGAAATTTCTGGCCTCTGTTGACACCAGCGCAGTCCATTCCAGACCAGAAAAATACCGCGTGTCTCATTTTGTTTGGTCTGGAATGTACTGGAAGGTTCACAACATTTTCCAGAGCAGATCTGGTGAACCTGCCCTAAAGAATAAATTCATACCTGATAAACTCCTCCTCGATCAGTGACATGCTCCATAGTCTCCGGACGTCTAGTTGAAGCAGGTGTGTGATGGTCTGCAGGACTTTTTCTCGCTCCATTTCCCAAAGAAAGCCGTCAGCTTTGGACTTTGCCTTCCTCCCCTGATAACAAAGAAGTAAATCTGTATGAGAGAAATAAAGGCGATGCCACTGGTAACAGATTCTGAAAATGCCATTTGGGTTGCTGCTATGTTGACCCTCTAGCATCAATGATGATAGTTCTGGGTCTGTAATTGAAAGTTTTGGAATCAAAGACATGATAGCCAGGCAACTAACTCCTGCAGGAGGAGAGGTCAGTAATGGCAGGCTTTAGGTTTCCATTAGGGATTCCCTTCTGAAAAGCGAATGCCGGCAATGCACTGCCATAAACTGGGGTCACTACTTACCTTTCCACTGGGCTCCACATTCCCCAACGCAGCTTTGTAAGTCTCCACCTCGAAGGCCTCAATCAAATGTACAAGGAGAAAGCAATTCATCTTCAGAGTGTTGAGGTGAGTGTTTTTATCGGCCTGAGCCAGCGACAGATCTTCCAGGACTGCGGGGAGTTCTGCCGCATGCTGGGAAGTGGCTGGAAGATGGGATAGAATCATTAGGGATCCTGATAAAATGAATGCATTTAAAAAGGCTCTGTGGTCACATGCCGGCTTAAAGCAGATGTCTCTGCAACGCATACAATGATCACTGTCATTACCGCTGCAGTTTAAGTTATTTGTCAGTCTCTACTTTGAAAAAAGTCAGCGTCATCTTTGGTCTAAAACTTTTAAGAACATATTGTACTAGATTCAAAGCTTCTACCAAGAGCAGAAACATACCTTTGATAAGTACTTCTAGCAAATCTTCTTTCAAAGAAGCATCCAAGGTGCGGAAATGACTGGAGGAAAGCAGGTGGGCAGAACAGGAAAAAATTAACACAATCAGTACGTGAAGGAGAGAAAAAAAAGTGCATAGCTTTGTTTGCAAACAATTGTACCAGTAGGCTTCAATCACTTTACATTCAGGTCACCAGTCAGTTTTGCAGGAGACCCAATATTAATTCAAATATCAAATGGAATGCGACTCAACAGAAATGCACTGAACAGCTCCAGGGAGCACAAGACTACACTGACGATTATATCCATTTGCTACAGAGATTTAACCGCTGAAATCTGGACTGTAGGAGTGTGTGCAGGAGCCTGTAATGAACTGTCTCAATATGCGTATCCTGGGGCTGCTAACATGTCGTGTGCAGCAGGAGCCTGTGCTGGGGCTGCCGACAGTGTCCAGGAGCCTGCGCTAGAATTGATAAAATCATGTGAAGGAGTGTGTGCTGGGGCTGTTACATCTCATGTGCAGGAGGAGCATGTGCAGCAGCTGCCGACATGTCTTAGCAGACGCACGTTCTGGGGCTGCCGACATGTCGTGTGCACAAGTGTGTGAAGAGTCTGCTGACCTTTTGTGCAGGAGCTGCCGACACCTCATGTGAAGGAGCGTGTGCAGGAGTGGCTGAAATCTTGTGTGCAGGAGTGCATTGCTGAAGCTGCTGGCATTTCGTGTGCAGCAAGAGCTACAGACATCTCCTGTGCAGAAGCATGTGTTCGGGCTGCTGACACTGTGTGCAGGAGCCGCTGTCGTCCCATGCGCAGGAGCTACTGATATTTCATAGGTAGGATCGTTTGCAGGAGCTGCTGACACCTCATGCGCAGGAACCAAAACCAATATATATCTCAAAATGGTACAGTACAAAAAGCAGTCACATGGCCTGGTTCTTTGCTTCACTATAATTCATATAGTTCTTCACTGAATTATAATTATTTTTAATTTGCAAATAGACATCAGTCATACCCAGAAGCATCTACAATACATTATAGTAAAACAAAATACTTAGTCTATGACACACTGACCTTAATAAAATGGAGAAATGCATTTCTGACTTGCCATCAGATTACCAAAGATATGTGCTCACATCTTCCATCACCTCTGCCAGCGGGTAATGAGCTCTGCCCTGCCCCCTGCTGGTCGTTGCACATTCTGTAGGTCCCCTCGGTATCTGCACACTCTGACTTCGGAGGGCAGAAATAAGTGAGAAAGACCTGCAATTAAGCTGCTGTAGGTCTGGCCTTACAGTGGCAGCGAGTTACTTCTACACAGCCACCAAGATTACAGATCGGAGGCGATGGGCAGAGATCACGCCCAGAGGAAGGAAGAATCACACTTGCCTTGGGCTCATCATGTGGCAGGAGCAAGTATTTGATTTTCCCCCCACCAGCGGAAAGGATGTCTTTAGAGATGTAAATAAAAAAAAAGATTACATTTTTCATTCTTCTAAAAGCAGGAGCCGCCGACCCCATAGGCGCACAGCAGGAGCCGCCGACCGCATAGGCGCACAGCAGGAGCCGCCGACCGCATAGGCGCACAGCAGGAGCCTATATCAGAACAGGAACAGATGTGAAATCTTCCAATGGGGACACTAGTTCTGCTTAACACCAGTATTCAGTTCCTTAGCCAAGCGCCGAGTATCTGTTCTGCACCTCAGTTCCCTGCAGCAGCTTCACTGAACGCTTCGGCTGCAGTGCTAAATAAAATGGCGAACGATAATATTCCTGACAAAAACAATTTCCAATGAATATTTGGCATGCATGAAATTGTAGGTTCCCACACTGAATTGCGATTTGCTCCATTGGGGTTCAGGCACCTTTCTCCAGTGCCGCCAGGTGTCCCCACAATTAAAATGGCAGCTGGTGCTCTGCCCCCCTCCCCATCACACTCAACGCTCCGCATCCACATTCATTCCGCTGCAAGTGCTAAGTTAGCAGTGCTGGGTGCTGACTTGCAGCGTGGTGTTTAGCGGAGGTTTGCTAACACTCGCAGCGGCTGAGCAACTTAACACACCTGAGGGAATTTCCTTCACTGTGGGATTTCCTCTCACTTCCTGTTGTGGCTGTCAAACAGGAAGTGAAAAGAAATCAACCCCAATGGGACACAGATGGCATAAAAAAAGCTGATGGGGCTATAATTCTCTTTTACGCTAACACTAAAAAAGTTTTACTATAATTCTACTTGAATGGACACAGGCAGCGGGCCCGGTGTGCTTGTTGTTCTGCGGTCTGGCCACACCATACATATGGGGAGCACAGATGACAATTTTAAGAACTCACTGCTGAGCTGAGAGGGCAGCTGCCGCACGGGCTGTACCTCCTGGACCACATACTGCCCGACGCCTCCACTCTTCAGGAGGTCTCTGAAGGCCAGAGGGATGGAGAACTGCAGCGACATGATGGAAGCTGGCACTAGAATGGAAAACAATGTTAAGTTAGTCCACGCCAAGACCCATCATATACAGACATCTTATAACAGGAAGGAAGCCAGACAGAGCGAGACATGCTGGCCAATAACGTGAGCCTGCAACCTCAGACTCACCAGCAGCCATTTATATCAGACCATAAATTGAACATGCAAAGATTGCCTTTTAATTACTCAGGGCCCCCAACCCCAGGTACCGTTGTAGTGACACAAGGGTGGTGTAGGTGGGGGGCACAGGGTCAATTCTAGGGCATTCTCTCCAAAAATGCCATCGTTCAGCTTTAAACCCCCATAATCCTTCCACGTACACTTACATTACCTTCCCTCACCCACTGCCCCAGAAGCTGGAGATACCTGCTACTTCCTGGTATGGATGAGCATGTGACTTTGGTCAGATGACCCCACTGGGCCAATCAGCACTGTCCTATAGGAAGAAGCTCACAGTCCTGTGGAAGATACCTTTGGCACTGAGGGAACAGAAAGGTGAGAATCTTCTTCCTGCTGGCGGTGGAAGGACCACAGAATTTAAATGGAGGCCAGTCATGTAAACACCTATATGGGTCACTTTAAAGCACCCCTGCCCCATGGCTGGCCTCCAATTAAACAAAAGCATGTGGTTAGGATCACTTTAAAGGGGAGTATGTGAGAATATAACTATACATAAGTGCCATAGTCATTTTCAGGCCTAAAATGTGGAATATAACATGGGTGCAAAAATTGAAAAAAGGGCCTCAGTCATGAAGGGGTTAAAGTTGCAGAAAACGCAGACTCCAGGCCTGGCATCGTGATCCGGAGTTCACCAGCCAGCTAAACACTGACTCGGAACAAACATGCAACCAGTGAAGTCTGAACACCCACCCTGGATACCTGATCCAACGACTCCAAACAGCAGTGATGAAGCGGGCCAACCGTTAAAGCCTGCAAGTCACCCCAGTCCCCTACACCTCCTCTCGTGATGTACAAGTACCAGCATCACTTACCCAGTGCGCCTCTCCTTACACCGGACAACGCGAAGCCTCTCACCGCCACCCACAGCTCTTTTCAAATCTACTCCTCCCGCCAAAATCCCAGCCAATCACTAGCCAGCGCAGATGTCTGACGTCATCAAAGCGCCGCTTAACCGGAAACCAGCCAAGAGAGCCGTCTGACCAATCGCTCTGAGGCCGAAGCAACCAATAAACTGACGCCGGGAGAAGATTGACGGCGCCGTGAAGCAATCACGCTGCGGGTAAGCTTACAGGCCGCTATTGGACGGCTGAGTTGATGGGCAGGCCAGGCAGCCAATGACCGACAAGCATGTGTTAGTTTATCTTACTTTCGCTAAAAGCTAGAATCGGATTTATTCCCACAGATTTGTATCATTGTGCATTCTGATGCTGCTCACTGTACCCCACCACAGTATTGCATGCTTATTCGGATCTCAAATGATGACAGCCAGGTAAATGGCATTGTCAGAAGGTGGCGGCAGCATGCATATTTATTCTAGCAATTGTGGAACTACAAGTCCCATGAGTCATTGCAAGACTGACAGCCACAGGCATGATGGGATTTGTAGTTAAAGTACAGCTAGAGGGCCCGGAGATGCCCACCCCTGATCTAGGGTCACCATTAGGGATGAGCTCAGGTTCAGACAAAACTTGGGCTCCTCCATACCTGAAATTGCCCTTGGGCCACCCACCCAATCAGCTGATCAGCTGAGGGCCAGGGCATTCCCCACCCTGCAGCTTAACATACACAAAGGGACAAGACGCATGTGAGGTCATTGACCTTATATGGCCATGTAGCCATATTTGGTAAATGTCATTGACCAAAAATTGCCTGGTGACCATATAGGGTCAATGAGGTCACTGTATCCTTTGCTTACCTGCAGCTGCGGGTGGGGATATCCCCGGCTGCAGCTGATGGGGAAGCATTAGAAGCGGCTTCCTTCAGTGTTCGGAGCAGCTCAGGGTTCAGTCCCAATCTGAGCTCATCCATAGGCACCATCTACTAGACATGTGCACAGCCAAAAAATTCGTTTAGTTTAGTTTCGTTTTAAATTCGGATTTGTGTTATTTCGTTTTTCGGGATTCGGGTGTGAAAGTCAATTCGGAATTCGGACGAAATTCGGTAGCGGTAGGTCGAACGTTCGTTTAGTTTTCTGTTCTTATTCGTTTGTGACATTTGAGGGGGAAAAAATATTTTTCTCCTTCTCTAATGTCACTTTGCTCCAACGAACGGAACGAATAAGAACCGAAAACGAAACGAACGTTCGAACTACCGCTACCGAATTTTGTAAATGGAAATTCGGATTCGTTTGCATTCGTTATGTCTGTAATTCGGAATTCGGATACATCCGAATTTCCGAAAATTCGTCCGAATTTCGATTCGGAACGAAACGAAGCGCACGTCTACCATCTACTACTTAGAATGAGATGCCGGCTCAGAGATCACACGGTCGTATAAATCAGACGCGGGCGCCGGTGTTTGTTAACATCCCGGCTGCATCTGCCCATTGCAGCCCCATAGACTTCTATAGGGCCAGGTCCTGGGGCCCGAGACGTAGGAAGCCATAGAAGGGCGCTTATCCTCTAATGTGCCCCCAGGTATCGATCCATGTCCACTATCATGGGGTCAGGATTGCATGTCTGGAGCTGCTTCCCCACCCGCAGTGACCCACATTGAGTGCTCCATCCTTTGGAGAAGATTCCATTGGACAGAAGCGGGTATGCGGGCGCACTTTTCTGAGCAGGGGGCTTCCTGAACGCAGTTTAATATCAGAAGACAGATATAGACGATCTCCGCTGCGTGCCAACATGCCAAGTGCTATCATAGCAGGAGCAGGCTGGCGTGCCTACGCATCGCAGGATGGAAGGCAGAGGCTGCGTCAGTGGCGTGTTTATTATTAACCCCAA